ACAGCTAGCTTCTTGAAAATCTCAAACAGATTCGGAGACCAGCTGAGGGGAAACATCATTCATAGCAGGAAACTGGCATGCGGTTTTCCCCACGGCCTTAAATAATTAGTCTAACATATGTTACCTAAATGCAGATTCACACTGGAAAGAAAACAAAAAAAAGTTGGTTTATCCCTTTAAGTGGTATCTCAGGTCACATCACTGTGTGCTGATACAATGACTTAGCAAGTTCTGCTGGTTGTGAAATGCAGCCGATAAGAAGACAAATGTGGGATGGTTCAAGTCAGATTATACCACCTGGATGTCACACCTGATGATCCCTTTGTCCTGTGTTATTGCAGCGCAACTTCTGCTTTCAGTGACGCTTTAAACCAGTGCACACACTTGATCACGTGACTAGCTGGAACAAAGTCCCTGGCAGCCTGAGGGCCGCTACAATATACATAGATAAAAATCCCTCTGTTTCCCCGTATTCTCCTTTTATATAATAACAAGGGTTGCACTTGGTTATGAAATCTATTCTATGTGTTATTACATTATTTTGATTAGCCTGCTTGTGTGAGAAAAGACCCACACAACAGAACTACTACAACATGATGATGTGTTTGTGTGTGCTGGGTGTGACGACCTTATTCTTGCGACTGAACAATTACATTGCAAATGAAGCAGAACAAGAGGACCTGAATCTTGTACTAGTTTCTCTCACTTGCACAGCTTAGCAACTTTAAAAAAAAAAGCACTGTAAACATTCAAAAACTTTGAAATATTAGTTTCAACCAGTTTCTGGCTGCTGTCCTTGCATTGTCTTCTGTGGTAAACCCAACCTTTTTGTAGCACAGCAAGCCAAACCACAGCACAAATAATTATTTGCATGCACAGTTTCCGACCCGGGACGGGTTCTTCACTGAATCTAGGCTGTGTCATAGTACTAGCTGATAATAAATGCTTTCTTTTCCACTTGCCTGTGCTGCAGCTTCCTGTGTTGATGATATGTATGTGGCCTGATAGGGTGGAGATGACAATGTAGGTGTGGAGGAAGTCAAATGCAGGTGTTTGCATGTGTGTGTGTGTGTGTGTGTGTGTGTGTGTGTGTGTGTGTGTGTGTGTGTGTGTGTGT